ATAACAATATATGATATTTTTTAGATATGATAACAAGATATGATATTTTTTAGAAATGATAACTAGATATGCTATTTTTTAGATATGATAACAAAATATGCTATTTTTTAACAAGCTCCATGACGCTTATGAGGATACTAGATCAAAATAAGCAATTTTTTTTAAAATCAAACTTTGCACTTAATTGCTATTACTTTGTGTTAGTAATAAAAACCTTCTTTTGCGAGATTAGGAATTTTCGCTTAACGTAACGAACTTTTATTTTTCAAATTTTTTTTTCAATTAAATAGACACACAAATCTTTAATAGTAAATAATGCATTTTAAATCAGAAAATAAATAAAATATTTTATCTCACTTTTAAAGAACTAAAAGACATCAAAATAAAATAAATGAGTATTTACATTAAAAAGTTATAATCAATTTTAACATTTATCTGACCCGTTTAATTGATAACTAAAATGGACTTAAGCTTGCCAATCAGTCTTATTCAACTTTTTTAAAGCCTGAGCGAAATATTATTTGATAACAGTGTCAATTCGGCGGAATTCACGCCAACTCACCTGACCGATGGAATTTTACTATTTAACAATTGTACCAACATTTTAATAACACATCATGTTTTTTCGTTATTTTTAATAACATATCGTGATTTTCCTCTCCATGTAACGCAAATGCCGGTTTGTTCCATCAAAAAGTTCTCCACGAAGGCTAATTTCTCCCAATACTTGATCCAGGAGTTCCCTTATCTTCAGGATTGGGCTCAAAATTACAAGGCTATGGAGTTGAATATAAACCCTAATTAGGGCCTGCTGTTCAACGATTCAGCTAAAATTCAGCTAATTTACATTATTTTTTCGTTGGTCTGTCGGAATTCTCGCTAAAGCAACACTGTTTAGAATTTCACATTCAATAATTATCTCTATGCAAAGTATTCACAATATTTGATACACCCATATGTTTGTGTTTTCTCAGTAATACACATCTGTTTGTATATTTATTAAAGCAAAAAATATTATAAGTGTTCGAAATAATGAGTATTTGAAGAATCAAATATAGGGAGAATCATGTGACAATATTTTGAAAATTTAATAATTATATAAATTGTTTATTTGATACTAAATGTAAAAATACAATTGTGGAAAAAATTCATTTTTTAAACTTTTAATAAATTAATAAATTGTTTCAACAACATCAGTAAAGGTTTTATTTCATATTCAATTGAAATGAATTCAAACTGAGCATACATTTAAAATCCTAATTCTCTCTTACTGACATAATTCCAGTAATCAACAAAAATAGATTCAATAGAAAGAATGAATTTAGTGAGCTACATTTCCAAGAAAATTTTTTTTTTTTGTGCTAAATGTTTTTGAATATTTTGAGAGTTTTTAAACTATTTTTATATTTATTTATTATTAAAATCGTATAATATATAAATTGGTGAGAAACTAATTTTATTTAAAAATTACAGAAAATTTAAGCTATTATTTACTTTGCCAACTGTTTTTAAATAAGATAGTTGACTCTGCCTCTTTTGAAAAGAGAGGGCGCCACCAAATTAAGCCATTTTAATAAAAGTTTTGTTAAAAAAAATTAAATTATTCCCTTCTAGATCAAAAACTACCATGTTATTTCTTTCTTTTTTTTTTTCATAATATGTCTTGAACTTTTATGGAGATAGTTATCTTGAAGCATCTTTCAAACATTTTTTATGAAAACTCAATGTGGATCTCGCTTGAATGCATCGCATTGTGGTTAAATTAATGCTTAATAATTATTTATTTTTAAGTATCTTCTTAATATTTATAGCTTCTATAAATTACCACTTTAGCAGGTGAAAAAAAAACTGCAAAAAAACTTTCTTTGTAAACATAGTATTTTACGCAAGTAATGCCTAAAAAAAAAATTTTTTTTTTCTGTAATGTTGCAACTCAAGGGGTGCTTAAATCCTTTATCCCTACCAAATGTTAGTAAATGATTGAAACAATAAATATTTTTAATAGCTGCTACATGTCACTGAGGGAATTGTAAGTTATGTTGGCTAAAGTACTTTGATTTATTTGTAAAGGTACTAAGAATCTGATTAATATTAGCGCTCTTTTAATTTAATTATTTTTAAGGAGCTCTCGAATCCAAACAGCAATTACAGCATAACAGTAATTATAAACAACAATTACAGCGCATTTTGTATAATGTTTCATCTATGGTAAAAGAGTGCATAAAACCTATGCCCAGGATTGAGGCCAAATCTATTCGTAATCATTTTCTGATGATTGAAAAACAATTGCTTAATGTGCGATACATAATCATTTATGCATTAGTCTTACAAGTATCTACTTTCACCTCATATATAGACAACATCAACGCCAGTAGAATTGCATTAGAATTCGAATAAGAGGTAGATAAAAATTGTTTTAGGTTTTTGTGAATGTTATTATATAGATTCAGCTTCAAAATCAGTCGGTAGATAATTAATTATCCAAGAAACAGGGTTTTTTTAAAAAAACAATTAATATAATTATTCGTATGCAGTTTAAATTTTGCTTTTTATTTATAATTATAAAAAAATGTAAGATTTATTTAAAGAACATAAATGTTTGATTAAAGATTTTTTTCATATGAAATAATATCTGATATCAATTTTAAATATGGTATTTCATTTTTCGAAAATTTCTTTATTTGTAGTTGAAAGACAAAAATAAATCTTTAAATATAGGGGTTTAACCGTATTAAAAGATTAAGAGCTATATCTTAATAAAGTTTTTGAAAATATTTTTAATGGTTCGAGTATTTAAGGAACAGGAAAATCATCAAGAGACAATTGAAGAAGTTGGAGAAAAAAAGTCTCACATTTTCAGATTTAAAAACAATTTATATTCTTTTATGTGTATAGGATCTATCTTGTTTTCAATCAGTTCGTTATATAAACTGTTTTTAATTGAAAAAAGTGTTTTGTGTTCAGAGCTTATTGCTCTTGTAAATTTTTAAAACTAATATTTGCAAATTCACAAAAAAATGTGATTCATAACCTTCTTCCACTTAACTCTTCAATTTTCTTTTGTTTTTAACTCAAATGCTTAAGTGTCTGAAATTTCAATAAAAGTTCTGGTATTTAGAATTTTTTCTGGCCTACTATTGTGTAATAAATATTCAAAACAATGTAGCTTATTAATATAATTTACTTCTTGTAGATTTGGTTTAATATTTTCTTTCCATGTATCAAGAAAAAGATTTTCGACCATATATTTCTATTTTTTCTTCGTAATACTTCGCTAATACACGAGCTAAATATTCTTTCGAATATTAATTCCACAGATAAGATAATTTTTCATTTTGCTCATATGTATATCTTTATCTCACCAAAACTTAAGAATTTTTTAAAAAAATCTACAAATCTGCAATTTTGTCAACTGGAGAGAAAAGAAAAATCAAGTTTACATTTAATCACAAAAGTTTTAAAAATAAAAGCTTAAAATTAAAAGAAAGTGTGTAGATGCTCCATTTCTAAAACTTTTTGATTTCGAATAAAATGTTATCAAAATTTTACTTTTATGAAATGTTTTTGTGCTCATTATTTGAGAGCAAAAATACTAATGTTTAAATTATTAGCAATGCTCGTTTAAAATATTACCAATTTTAATTTTGGTGAAAATTTTAGTAATCTAGCTTATATTCTAGAACAAATGATTCCTTAAATCGATCCCAACATCGGTTGTGCTCATAATAGCTGAAAATAACTTCTTGATATTTAATTTATATCTCTATACAAACCATTAAAGAAACTGAAGTTTTCAAGATACATAAATTATATCCTTTATGGCATTTTTTTTAATAATATTTTGTGTAACTATTCATGAAAAACTAAGTTATTCTTCGTTTCATGACTAATATTGTTTTAAAATATAAGACATTTTTAGTTCTATTTGTAGAGATATTCTTTTTAAAATGTGGAAGTTAATAAATTAGTAACTGATTAAAATTACACGCCTTGTTCTATTTTCAAATATACCGAAGTTTTCTATAAAAACGACCCTAAATCACTAAAAAATGTGGATTATTTAGTGTTTTAGATAATTAATTAGAATGTTTCGTCAGAAAGTATCCTTTATTACACTGGGATACACCGTGATTCAAAGGCATTTGATGACCCTTAAACTAGAATAAGCAATAGCTCTCCGAGTAAAAGAAAGCAATAGCTCTCAATTATATCTAAGAACTATAAAAAAAAATATTATTTTAATTTGTTTATATTAATTTAATTTATAAATATAAAGACTACTCGTCTTGCAAGTCATAATAGATTTTGAACTAATTACAAAAGTCGTAATTTGTAACTGGTCTAACTGTAGGTACGAGCATAAATTATAACTAAAAATTAAACTTCTGAATATAAAAGGTACGCTTCGTATTTTTAAACTAATTGATATCAAATAAGAAGTGGTTTATATAAATAGTTGTAAAACTTTATCTACTTTCCATTTGTGTACATAATAGTTACGAAAATCGATTTTTACATCCTTATTAAATTCCATCTCAACCCAAAAGCATATAAGAAGTATTATATATTGTTAAGGTTGTTTTCGCATTTATTGATAAAGTAAAAAAAAAAAACTCAGTTTTCATATTTTTTATAAAAATGCGTAACTGGAACATACATTTGCAAATACTTCTGTTGTTAAATTAAATGAGGACATACCATTACGTAAATTCTACTAAATAATATTTTATAAGTGGTAACACAATTTGAAAGCCATTTTTAACGTACCTCTAAATAAAAATATAAAGAGGCCTATTCTTAATTAATAGAAGACTAACTGTCTTTAGATTTAATCATGCAAAAATATCTAATTCTTTTCCCCAAATATAATGTTTTGTCAATCATTTTAGTATCTTTTAATAAGATAATAACTTATATGTTCCCTTTCGCTGAAGGAAATTTTGTTTTATATATTTGTTTATAGTCAATAAAAATGAGATAATAAAGACACAACACAGAAATAAATGATGTAAGAGCACTTTTACTACTCATATAAAAAGGGAAGAAATAAATTTTAATGGGGAAACATACACAAAAACACATAACAATATAAATTAGGCTGGCCCTTTGTTTCACAGGCAGTGTAAGTGGTAAAGTGGTCGGATTCTGCTATATCAACTAAATTTACACATCATCGCCTTAGCTCATGATATAATTAAATAAAGTCTTCGTGAAAAATTCAGATGAAATACATGATGATACAGAACAAGGCCAGATATGAAAATTTTTACAAGAAAATATTCAATGTAATCACAAAAAATCGAAAGTGATTTCAGAAAATCTTAATGTCTTATTTTTTTATCTCTCTTCCAGAAAGCTTTCATCACATTAAGGAACATTAACTCCTACAATATATCACAATTGAGAGTTTGAGCTTTCGAAGACATAAATGAAAAGTTACAATTCAAATTTAATGTTCTAAAAAAGCAATTTTCATTTTTGAACAATGGTGGGTAAAAAATATAGTTTTTTTAAGTTCTTACGTGAAAATATCACCGTATAAAAATATGAAAATTTTTTTTTACGAAATCTAATTATTTTTAAAACCTATAATTTTGCTTATTTTATTTCCGAAAATCTTATGATCATATCAAAATTGTTAGATAACATATATATCACTTTTTTATGATTTACAAAATTTGATAATTACTTAAGTTATTATTATGAAATGTGCCTTGAAATATTCACTTGTAACTCACGAAATATAATAATTACCTGAACAAATGTTAGAAAAATAAATTCTAGTAAACTTTTAGTTATAAATTTAATTATGACTGTTAAAGAACGAACTATAAAATTTTATACAACTGATTTTATTAATGACTTACAATTAAAAATAAAATAATAATGGCATGTCTCGCATTAAAATTTATTTCTTAACGCTAAATTTTGAGAAAAAAAACTTTGATAAAATACAATCTGAAACAATTCTTTTTTCAAAAAATCCTCACATTTGTGTTTTACATGTTGAATAAGAATATAATTTTCAATAAAACTTAGATTTATCAATAAATTAATTCGAATATAAATTTTCAACAGTTTAAGAAATATTCAGAATTAATAATTAATTCTACGTGCAACAACACCAACATATTGCAGTAATGACTCGAAAATGCAATTTCAATGATTTAAATATAACACATAAGAAATGCTCTGCAAGAAAAGCATGTATTTTAAATGGCAGTCTTTTCAGCTAGTGTCATGTGATTATAAAAAAAATAAATTTTTTTTTCGTGTGAGTACATAATTAAAAAAAATTAACCACAATCTAAAATTTATCAGCTGATGATGGGTGCTATAATATGCAATACTAGCAATACAAAAATACATGAAAATGGAAAAATAGGTAAATAACATACAAACGAAATGGAATTTTAGTTTTTATTGAATACTTAAATATGAATCAGCTTAATAATTTAAAAATTAAAAGTAAAATATTTTTGATTTAAATATTATAGCAAAGTAAATAAACTTTTTAAAATAATTTTTGCATTTTAATCACTTACTCATGGCAAAATTTGTTTAAAATATGAAAATATATTTCTCTTAATTTTTAAAAGGGGATAATAGAGAACAAATACAAATCCAACCTAATTTAGTGTTAAATAAATTAATTGAATTGTTCAGAAGTTTAAATTTGGAAAGTTGAAGTACTTCAAATTATTTATTCAGTAGTTTTCTTTTATCTTCAATTAATTAAAGAGGCAATTAAAATTAGTAAATATATAGTTTATTGGTAAATTGAATTAAATAAAATTTATTTAATTGTTAGTTTAATTACTCTCACAATTTATGAAAAATTTAAAAAATCTAAATATATATACTATATATATGATAAAAGCAATCGATTTTAAATAATTCAAATTTACTCTTTAAATCCAAACTCAAAGTCAAATATTTTAAAAAGTAATTTCTTTGCCAAATATTAGTATCTGTCTTCATAACAAATAAATTTTTTTTAAATTTATTATGAATTGGAATTTTAGAGGTCAGATTCAATAAGCTTTGTTTTAAAATAAGAACAAAATACAAGTAAAATACAAATCATACATAAAACTATCTTTATCAAACGAGGACAAAACTTAAATAATAATAAAAGAAAAATAAAACTGAACTAAAATTTTTCTACAGGAACCAAAAAAAAAATTCATGTACAATCTTTGATTTTATGTAGGACTATGACTTTAGTCTTATTTATAGGAATGAAGAACGTAATATAAAACTAAAAAATAAGCAAGATTTTGATCAGAAATATTAAAAGAATTATCATACTTAAATAGATAGCAGTTCTCTTAGCACCCTATATGGTGATATCACAATATTAGGAACGTTAACATAGTAAGAAGAGGCACTGCTTCTAATATACTAATTAAATAAGGTGTAATTCAGGTAAATGAATTTTTATAGAAGTACAGATAGTTTAAATAATTAAGATTTCATAAAATACATAACACTGCTTTTACGTATGTTTGAAAGCTAGAAAGGGATAATATAAGATAAGGTAGAAAAAAAATGTATTACAGAATCACATCGACAAATTGATCTTTTAAATTTATTTTTAAAATGAAATTTTGAAGAAATATTGTTATATTAGTTAATTATTTAATAAACATTAAGATGTATATTTTTTAATATTAATCATTATTTTTTTATACTTTTTTTAAAATAAATTATGATTTTTCAATTACATTAGATAATATTGTTCACCAAAAAATGAAAAATAATCGATTAGTTTTTAAATTTAAATGATTGATAAGATAATTTATCCACCTAATAAATCTGTTTTATTACCCCTTTTAAGCAATCAACATGAATTATTGCATAGTTGAAAACTATTTCAAAAACGTTCAATTTCATTTCGTAAATCTTTCATTCAGCCATTTTCACTCTCACAGCTTGTGCATGTGAACTTAATAGCCATAGCTATAGCGTTCCAATAATCCTCAAATGTTATAGAGGCACTTTTGCTCTAAAACTTAAAAATGATAATCATATATAAATATATTATGAACGTATATGCAAATACTAACTATAAACTTTTGTACAACTCTCAATTAAGATCAATATTTAATTATTTGAGTAAAATCAATTAACTTCAAACATTAAATAATAAAATACGCATTTTTTTTACGAATTGCTTTTTTTCAGTAGCACATTTTCAATTTTCAAACACATATGAAATACATCAACGTAACATTAAAAAAAAGTAACATAAATGAATTTATGACAGGCATGGACAAATTTTCAAAGTACAATGAAATTATCAGGCTAGTTTTCTCTTCACAAACAATTACTTAAAACTAATCATGAAACTGTTTAAATTACATGAGATAAAACCCAAGACAGTCTTATATTATAAGCTCTTAATATATTTGAAAACTGTTACTTCAATCAAAAAAATTGTCTTAAAATATGAGGAATTTCTTACAAGCATTAAAGTCCACGCCAAAAAAAAAGACAAAGAAAATATAAATCTGAATATGGACAGTTATGTGCAGTAATGATATGCTAAAATGTATGAAACTTTGAACTATAAAAATGTGAAAATGCAACTCAACTCTAAATGGCAAGAAATTGATCAAATCAAAGTTGTGCAATTAATCATCTCAACTTAAGACAAATGTTTAAATTCAAACAAATGATTTACTACCTTATGAAACATGCACTAAACATATAAGTAATTTAAAAGAAATGCATTGATGAATGCACCTTGACTGAAGCATGTAACATATGTGCTTGTACTTAAATGGTTAGAAATGTATTTCCATCATTTAAATCGTTTCATAATAAAGAACGTTTTGTTCTTAATATCACAATTAAACTGTCCTTATTTTCAACATCTTCCTCCTCTCTTTAATCTTGGGCCTTCCACATAATTGTTATTCATTTGGCACTAGAGTACAAATATCTTCTAATAATATTTATCAATTTGTTCATAACTTATATACAGTAAAATGTTAAAAGAGACTCACATAATGGCTAGATATCAAAATATGTTCATATTACGTTCACTCGGTGAACACATCATCCAAAAATGAGCACGTTTTGTACTCTTTCTAGAACAAAAATGCACTTCTTCTCCGAGGGAGAGCAGCCCTCTGTTTAGGTACTTATTTACCCTAATGCAGAAACTGATATTTTAAATATCCAGACATTTATACTGCATAATATATATATATATAAATCTGTATTGATATAAATGGATTTATTTATAATATATCAGTTAACTTCACAGTTGCGTTTGTCCAAAGGAGTCTATGACTTGGAAAAGAGTGCAATTTGTTTTATTCCTTTAAGAATAAAAGGAATTATTTTTCAAAAAATGAGAATGTTTCGGTGGTCACGTGGTTGATGATATATGTGGTTAATACACTATTTAGGTCTCCGGGCGTATCTCAGCACTGCATAACCCAGCAGTCGGAATATGACCAGAAACGCTAAGAGAATGAGTGTGTTCGCCCACATTGGCAGTGATGGGCCGTGCTGGTTGACAATATGGTCAGCTGGAATGTACACTGTAGAGTTCGTATTACTGTTACGGCAAATTTCGAATAAGGAATTTTCTTCAGCGCACCTGTGAAGAAAAAGTACAACATTAGCAGTCTGTATATATTGAATTAGTAGATAATTAAATTTGTTGATGATACATTTTGTAAAAAATTATTATTCAGTAAGAAATACACCTAATAAATTATACTCTCGTGATTTCTGAATTCCTATTTGAGATTTTTTTTTTAATTTGACCATACATTTTCATACATTTCTTTTTCTTTATAAATATTAGGAATACAACATTTCCTTAATACGTAATATCAGAAGAAAACTTCTGTGATGAAACAAGCACAAATAGAAAAAAAGTTTATATTATAAATTTGAAATTTATATATATACATATACACAATTACATATTTATAAAATATATATAGAATTAAATATTTTAACATAATTTATTTTAGCAATCGTTTTGAAAGTTAATGTTAAATGAATTTTTTAAAATTATACAAAGGAATAAAATTACAAGCAATTCAGTTCAAGAATGTTGTGACTTCCTCACTTGCTTTCTTTAGTTTTTCTTATTTACACGACAAAACGAACAATTAAATTATGTTTGTCAAAATTTATTAAAATGTCTCTGTTGGTTTTGAGACTAAGAGTTCGTTTTTCAAAACTGTTATTGACTTTAAAACATCGTTTTTAAATCTCTTCAAATTCAAAATTAAATGAAAAATGCAGAAGCAACATAATGTATATGAAAAGCAGAATTTTTTTTACTACATTACTATTTTTAATTTTAAATAAGTACAACTGTGAAAAGAATATAAATCTTGATTCATAATGACGTCTAATATTTTTGTATGCTATATTTAAATATGATAAAACATATCTTCATAAAATTTTTTATTTATTTGTAAAATGATGGCTACAATAAATTTTTATTTTTTTCAACTGCAAGTTCTATAATTAAAGTATTAGATCTCATAAAACAACTTCTCTTGCAAAGAAGTTTTACAACTTGTGAAGATTTATTTACCTCATGGGGGGTCCTCCACCAAATTCAATCATCTGCATATTTTGGTAGGCATAATGAACCATGGAGAAATACTGTAACCATTTCAACCAATATGGAATAGAAGATACATAATATCCTCCAAATAGCATGGTTGAAAGAGAGTAGAGAGCAGAAACTGTGATGGATACTTGGAGATCAACACAAGCAGCACCAATAAAAAGTCCCACACTCTGATAAAAAAAGAAATTAAAAATTATAATTTAGAAAACAAACTAATTGTAAAATATACTACACAAATACAATTAAATTCATTGGAATTTAATTAGTTTTAAACTTGCCTTTTAAAGTTGTTTTTTCCTACTGATAAAAATCCCACATTAATTATTAATAATTTAACATTAGTTTCAATAGTTCAGTCAGTTTACAGTAATTATTATATTTATAGAATATCTCATTACATCATATTTATGCCATATAACATGTATTAACACAAAAAAAATTGAAAATGTGTAAAATGCTGTCTCATTTTCAAAAAAAAAATTTTTTTTTTGTTTGTATTAAAATCCTTTTCTTACTTTGAAATGTTTTTTCAATATAAAGCATTTAAAGGAACTAGCACTTAATTAATTTTTTTATATGAAAGGCAATAAATACTGTAACAATAATACTCTTAACAATTTAACATTCAATTACTTCAATATTTCACACATAGGTAACTTTTTGTATCAAATAATAATTTACAAAAAAATAAGTGTCAAGTTTTTCTGGATATGGTAATATTTGTATTTAAATATAGACATCATCAATCACATTTGATGAAATTATCAGTAATAACTGTATTGGGGCTGTGTAAATGCAATTGGATTCCAATTAAATTTCAATTACATTTGACAGCAATTTTATGGCAAATATCTCCATTGCTAAGACTTAAAAAATTCATACATGATTAAACTCTGCTGTACAGTATGTGTGTGCAAACAATCAATAATATTAGAAAGTAAAGCTTTTGGAACAATTTTTTCACACATAATGTAAGAAATATGCAAAACTGTTTCTCAGTTTTATTCATAAAAAAAAGACTTTATAACATTAATCGAATACAATTTCAGTCACAGCGGTATTAAAAATAAACATTTAGAAAAATGTTATAAAATGAAGATTTATTACCTGTGATACTATTGTGCTAAGTAAGAGGAAGCCCCAGAGACTGAAAAATGTTTGAGCATTGTGAGCTCCAAGCAAGAGGTATGAGATCACATGAAAAACTGTTGGCAGTGTCATAACTAATGGCAGTTCACCTATCATTTTTGCTATGTAATAGGCAGATAATCTATAAGCTCCAGATGCTCTCTCTTTGTTAATAACTTCTCTCTCAGGGGGAACTGAAAAATAAAAACAAACATTAATTATAATAAAAAGGCTCTATTTAATGTATTTTGTTTCATATTAATATTAATTTAAAATAACTAGCAAGGCCTATTATGCATAAGGAAAATAATGCAATGAATTAAATACATAAGAAATATTTTTATACATTTATTTAACCAATAATTAGTTTAATTAATTTGAGAGAAGTATAATAAAAAGATCTTTTTAAGTGAAACAAAAGATATGAAAATACATTCCTAATGAATGCTTAAAAGTACAATGCAAATTTAACTTTATCAATATAAATCTCTAAAGTTACATGTTAATATATTTTTCACACAATATAAAAAAAAACATTTAGAATTTATTATTCTACCAAATTGATATTTATACAATTATTATATTATGGAGTGTTAAATGATTATGATCACATTGAAATTGACTAATGCTAATAGTCTATTTGCTACATTAAAGCTTTAAGTATTAGTTGATTGCAAATTGGAATAGATACCTTTAATAATTTAATAATATTACAATGGAAAACTTAGTTGTAATCATACTTACAAGAAACTAAAGCTCCAAAAAGTGCAAACAACATCCAATATGTAGTTCCAAAAAACATCTGCAAATAAGTAAAACATAATGACATTTTAAAAAATGTACTGAAAGTTTTAAAAAAATAATCAAGTATTTATTGTATAATTAAATATATCATCCATAACTGCCAACTTTTACGCCTTAAAAAAATTATTTTTCTCAGCGATGTCAAAATTAAACATTGATTTAAACATACATAATTATGTTTCGATTTGTCTTGAATTATGCACACAATTAAATATATAATGGTAAGGCTGTAAACTTTTACACTTTTTACAATCCATTTTTCTCAGCAGTAGCACAATTTAACACAAAATTAAACATAAGTATACATAAATCATGACTATCAATTATTATTTTGTAAATGCGGACATTTTTCTTCTTCTTTTTTTTTCTTCCTTTTTTTCGGGTTTTTTTAAAAAAAGAGATAAATTTGAATACTTTAGTAGTTATTTCACAGCCACTATCAAAATTTTTAAAAAAAGCTGACAGTTATGATAAACAAGAGAATGTTATTTCCCTTACCCATCCTCTAATGTCCACAATGGATGATTCAACTCTTGGTACTTGGAACCATAAAAGACCACAGAGAATTCCCAATGCAAAGGTTTGAACCCAGTTCAGTTTGGAAAGCATTCTGGATCGAGCTTCAACAAAGTTGCGCTTTGTGAGAACTTTTAGTTGCGTGGTAAAACATGTCGGCCATTTTCTCTCCTCATTCAGGTCTACCTCGCTACTAAAAGTAGAACTAGCTGCTTCCGACCAAGAAGACCTACCGGAATCATCGTCATCTCTGGATTCTATAACAAAGAAAAAATTTTATTTAAATTAAAAAAGTCAAATTTGATTGCTTAACTGAAAATTCAGAATTACTACATCAAATACATAACCATTTTTTAAAAGTGTAATGAAATATTAGATAAATTATAGCTACTGAATTCATGCAAAATATTGTAGCTACAAAATTATTTGGAAAAATATTACTTAGTAACAAAATATATTTTATTATAAATTGTTTAAATAATTATATTTTCATTTATTGTAATGCTCAATTTAAAAAATTTTTGAATTAAAGAATAGATGATCTTCATAAATATTTAGTCAAAGTGCTTTTTGACAAAACTGCACAGTTTTCAGAATGATTTTCTTTTTTTTTCTTATACTTAGTGCATTTGTAAATTTAAAGACATCATCAATGGCTCTAAATTATCAGAATTTAGAGACATAATGTAACTTAAAAAGAATGACGTCATTTTTCATGCAAACGTGTCTAAACAAACTATTTACAAAAGAATAACATATTAAAATAAAAATAGCGTACTCCGAAAATACAAGTTTACTTTTATAATTTAAAACATAACTAATCGATCACAATTCGACAAAACTGCACAGTTTTCAAATTTGATTGTTTATAAAATCTGAACAAACGTTAGACAATTAAGAGGTTTAGGTCGACTTCGAAATCATTAAGTCAATCATCATTCCAATGTGCTATCATAAAAATTTTAAAAGAAATTTCTTTCTACAAAATAATACAATTAGAAAGAAATTATTTTTATAAGTTAAAGAAGTCGTTCATTATATGAGACAAACAAATTTTAAATCTCTACACATAATAAAATGTAAAAAAATATATAGATCATAAATATAATAAAGAAAAGGTGTAAAATATGAATTGAAACTTAATTAGTCAGTATTATAATAATGTATTTAGAGTAAACATTTTCTAACTTAATTGAAGAAAATATAAAATAATTTTAAATAAATTCAGATTAATTCTTCACCTTACTTAATCAAGGAAATAATTGTAGAAATAAATAAATTTTAAAAAACTTAAAATTAATTTTATTTTTTACTATAATCCATATGATTCCCATATTCCTTCTGATGCACTCTACCTTCATCAGTTCCACACAGTAAAGAAATATGCGACTCTTATTTTATACACTTATCTGCTTGTAAAACAAAACATGCTCTATTTTAATAAAACAGCCACAAATACAAGCAAAAGAAGAAGAAAAATTAAAAGCAACATGCAATAAAGAAAAAGAATTCAAACTTAACAAAATAAAACAAACAATGCGAATGAACAACATGAGCACCAATAAAAAAATTTTAAAGAAAAGAGAATAAGCAAGCATTGCAAAATTAAAAAATAATAATAAAAGCAGCTGCCTATTTATCAGGAAAAAAATTAATATAAATTATTTGTAAGGGTGCTATAGAGTGAATACTTACATTGGTTAGGATTTGGCCAAAATAAACATATATTTACACAACAAAATTATTTTATCATTAATGATTAGTACTAGATACTTGATTATCAATGTCTCATTTAGGAAAACTGTTCAGTTTTGTGTGAAAATTTAGTTTAAAAAAACTTACATTTAAATTACTTGAATTGTGTTTTGAAAAGTTCTTAACATTTTAAGAAAATAATAATAGAAAACTAATACCAATTACCGAAATTAATTCCTAAAATTTGAAAACTATTTATTTAAAAATGATTCTAACATAAGAATAAATCGATATAAACTTCACATAAATGAAAAATATAACTCAAAGTAAAAGTTAAAATATTCTTTTATTACTCATATTTCAAATAAGAATATAATTAATTAAACGCAAAGAATTTTATTTTTTATACACAAATGCAAGAAAAAATTAATATAAAACATTTGAAGAATGAATTATAATATAAAAACATTTTCCTTACCAACTTTACTGTAAACTGTTTGTAGTTTTTTATCTGAATCAATAACAACTCTCAATTCAACTGGTTGGTTGTGATCCATTGATTCTTCAGACATATTCCACAGAGAATGGTTACATGGCTCACAATTTTCTTCATTTCTGCTGGGAATATTTTGTTAGAAATACAAACGAACAACTAACATTTCTTTAAAAACTGTCAGAAAATATAATTTGTAATAACGCTTAATAAATAAATGCTAAAATAAATGTAATGATAAATTAAAAAAATTAATGTGATTATAAATATATGTTAAAAAATGCATAATTGATTATGAATATAGTGAAGTAAATGTGTAATGATTAATGATACATTTAGTAATAAATAAATATTAAAAATGCATAATTGATTATAAATATAGTAAGAAATAAAACAAGTTAAAATGATAATAAATTTAATGAATAAATGTTAAAAAAATTTACAATTGATTAAAAACATAGTGATGAATAAAAAAAAAATAAATATGATGGTAAATTTAATAAATAACTGTTAAAATATAATTGATATCAAATATAGTGATAAATAAAACAAATAAATGTGGATGATGAATGTAATAAATAACTGTNTTGATTAGAAACATAGTGATGAATAAAAAAAAATAAATATGACGGTAAATTTAATAAATAACTGTTAAAATATAATTGATATCAAATATAGTGATAAATAAAACAAAAAAATGTGGATGATGAATGTAATAAATAACTGTAAAAATATGTATAATTAATGATGAATGTAATAATATAATCAATAAATAGATTTAAAGGCAAATAAATAATAAATGCGAGGATAAATTTAATACATATGTAATAATAGTTTTACAAACAATTAATTGCTAAATTTATTAATTACATGTAATTATAAACTAAACAAAAAATATCAATAAATAAATTTAATAATAAATGCTTTAAATAAATAATATTAATGATATATTCAACAAAACACTGTAAGGTTAACTAAAAAATAAATGCTCTAATAAATATAATATATACTTATAAATGTTATGATAAATTCGATATTAAAGTCATGATAAAGTGTTTAAATTACCTGTGGTTCATACCGGGCCACATTTGCCTATGGCATTGAATGCATTCAACTGACTTTCCATTTCCATCATATGGGGGAGATGAGTCAATGACAACTGATGGGCAATAGAAATCTTCTTGCAATTCTTTGGGGTATTCAGGGTCTTTCCTAAAATTTAAATTTGATGTTAAGATTTTTTCAAATTACTATAATAATGAAGAAATTTATTTAACTTCAATTTTAATATAAATAAAATTTCAATTTTAATTTTTCAATTTTTTCAAAATTAATATATTTTATTAAGAAAAACATTTAAAGTTCGATTATATTTTATGTGATTTAATGAAAAATACGAATAGTTTTCGATTCAATAATAATTTAAATATGTTCATACAATAATTTAGTAAGCGAATATCAGAGATTTAAAAAAAAATTACTTTTGTTCAATAGCTGCATGAATAATCTTTTCTTGAACATCTGTAGTTTTCTTCACTTGTTCCACTGCAATAAAAAATTCCATTCATATTTTAATCAGCATACAAACATTATGCTTAAAAAATATTATTAAAAAAAAGGTAATTAAATTTTCAGCAAAAAAAGTGACAATTAACAATTGTCAAAAGTTGAGAATTAACAATTACTAAATGAACAGCTTCAAAATATTATAATGGATTAAGAGTAGTGAAAGCATATTATTTTTAATAATAACATTAAAAATTTTAGATGGTATTCAGAAACTTAATTTCCAATTTAAAATTCATTGCTTTGCTATGCAAGTTACAGAAATATAAATTTTGATTTGTAAAGAATACCTACTTATAAAATCTGCAGGGTTGTAGTGAGCTGAAATTTGCATTCCCAAACGGGTAAAAAAGTCAACCACTTTTCCAGCTTCTCCAAAGTAAGCAACCTTAAGAGATATAAATAAAAATTATTGTTGTATTCAGAAATATATAAATAAAATTAAAAAGAATGTTGAAAAAATTTTACATCTTACATGAATATATATATATAAAAGTATATATATTTATGTAGTAAAATAAAACAATATACCCACCTGACCATTGCAGAGCAACAGTAATTTATCAAACATGTAAAAGATTTGACTGGACGGCTGATGAACAGTTACAACCAATGATTTGTTTTCAGCTGTTAACCTTTTCAGGGAAACCATCAAAGAATGTGCTGTACAAGAATCAAGGCCTGAGGTAGGTTCCTGAAATGAAATAAACATGACATTAGAAATGCATAAGAATGTTGTATTAAAATTGTTATCAAGTTTAAAAACTAGACCAGTTTAAAAAGGAGACAATGTTTAAAAAAAATTATAATGATACAAAAATGACTTTAATGTATTTAATCATCGATTGTTTTTGAGCCTGGTAATCATCAAATCTTTTGTCAAAAATTACACTAAATTTAAAATAAATATTAAAAAAACAAACAAAAAAAACTGACTATTATGAATTTCTGACACGATTGACGATTAAAATGATTAAGGAATATCTAAGTAAAAATTGCATTTATTTAAAGAAAAGATTGCAGGAATAAAGTAAAAAGCAACTATAATTCAAATTAATTAAGCTTGGAATATTAAACACAGCAAAATATATTTATTTCATAGATCATTTCAAAGAGTAATCAAAAGAATTTTCTTACATCGAGAAGCATAAGTGAGGGGTTTTGTAACAGCTCGCAGGCTATATTTGCTCTCTTCTTTTCTCCTCCTGATAATCCTCTTTTTAACATATCACCAATAACTATAAAAAAAATCACAATACTTAGTAATTGACATAATTCATAGAGAGACATAGAGAAAAATTTTTTATGAAAATTGTGTAAGTTAGTTTACTACCACTGATAATTTTATTTCGCACAAAGTTCAAAAATTGTAGGGTATGGCCAAAATGAGGTTATCACTTCTTCATTCATTTAATTGGAATATAATGAAATAATAATGGAATATAACAATATATATGGAGAGAACTCATGGATATATGGAATTTAACAATATATATGAATGGATAAATTCATGGATAGATGGAATATAACCATACATATGGAACAAAAGAAATTAACTTAATTACATGAATTAAACCTGAAGTGTGATTAACAATATATATGAATGGATAAATTCATGGATAGATGGAATATAACCATATATATGGAACAAAAGAAATAAACTTAATTACATAAATTAAACCTGAAGTGTGATTAACAACATGTATGAATAGATAAATTCATGGATAGATGGAATATAACCATATATAAGGAACAAAAGAAATTAACTTAATTACATAAATTAAACCTGAAGTGTGATTGGCAATATATATGAATGGATAAATTCATGGATAGATGGAATATAACCATACATATGGAACAAAAGAATTTAACTTAATTACATAAATTAAACCTGAAGTGTTATCAACAACATATATGAATGGATAAATTCATGGATAGATGGAATATAACCATACATATGGAACAAAAGAATTTAACTTAATTACATAAATTAAACCTGAAGTGTGATTAACAATATATATGAATGAATAAATTCATGGATAGATGGAATATAACCATATATATGGAACAAAAGAAATTAACTTAATTACATAAATTAAACCTGAAGTGTGATTAACAACATGTATGAATGGATAAATTCATGGATAGATGGAATATAACCATATATAAGGAATAAAAGAAATTAACTTAATTACATAAATTGAACCTGAAGTGTGATTAACAACATATATGAATGGATAAATTCATGGATAGATGGAATATAACCATATATATGAAACAAAAGAAATTAACTTAATTACTTAAATTAAACCTGAAGTGTGATTAAGAACGTCAAAAAAATCTCTCCTTGTGAGACAAAAAAGAAATAGTCTAAAATAAAAGAAAAGGAGGCGAGAACAAAAAAAAAAAAAAAAAAAAAAAAAAAAAAAAAAAAAACATTTGAGAAAATGAGTTACGTTATCACAAATGAAAGCAATCTATTTGTAGAAACATTCAAGCTGTTTGTCAGCCGGTGCAACAATGAAATATCGCTAATTACTCTTTAGACATCAATTTTTATTTAAACTGTTTCAATCAGATGTAGACACTATGTGTTTTGGGGATAGGCCAAAAAAACAGAAGGAAATAACCTGAGGGTTATTTCTTCACTCACTCTCAGTCTAAAAACATACTAACCTTTCCTCTCCCAGAATTCAAGATCGCAAACTTGGATCAAGTCATCGCAGTCAAGGGGAGTCCATTTTTTATAAAGTTTCTAGTTATCAACCTTATTTTCAAATTACAGTCGGACTTCTATTAAAGAGATTTTCTATTTTGCAATTTTTTTCTTCGAGGAACCAAGAACATTTTGTAAATTTCTTCGTAAAATAACTTCCAAGTATCGAGTGAGTTTTCTAATTAACGAACGATTTTTTTTTAGATCTTATTTCCCAAAATATTTCGAAACATTTCAAACTTGTTAACGCATTTGATGGGGAAATATTAATTTTCGCAGTCACTTAACTTTTAGAGAAAGCAGTATATCCTTTCCTGTTTGCATTTCATGCAAGAATCCATGCCAAAAAGCAATTTACGAGAAAGCCTAACAGAAATTTCTAAAGCATGGAACTATGATGTTACAGATCGCACTATTCGTACACCTATCATTAAAAAATAGGAAGTAAAATCAACTGATTCTATTAAGATTAATTTCACATTTTAAGAGGCACATTAACAATTTAATTGCATAATCTAGTCAGCTCACTATCGAGTAAATTGAATAATATTATTAGCTATTATTCAGATTTATTACACATCTTAAATATTAATTATACGATATTTTATTATTATAGCTATTTAAAAACTATTTTTACAGCAAAAATCGAACACAATAAATTGAATGAACAATGCATTGCTTAGTATCATTAAAATTTAAAGTATAATTGCTACTGTTAGGCAAATATGTTGTTACAAATTTTCAAATAAATGAATAGGCATATTCAATAATAATTTCTTTTAAATAAAACAACAACAAAAAATGTCATTAAGGTCGTTAAGGCATGAGTAAATGCATGGTAAAGCATCTGGAATTCAAAACGCCTAAAAAGAAAAAACATTAATCAAATGTCGCCAAAAACGTTTAAAATAAGGGAAATGGGTAGTTGGGTTGAACAAGTTGAAACCAGTAACCAAAACGTGTTTGACCCAAAAACCTTGGCCTGAAAACTTGGATTCAAATACATGCAGAAGCAGAAAAGAAACAAAGAAAAGGCGACACCCGCGTTGGCTTAGCTGTAGGGCTTAGAAACACAGCCTTGGAAAAAAGGATTTGTAATACGCCAGGGAATATAACGAAGATGGCTTTAACGAAATTGCAGCGGTCATTCACACTGCATAAAAGAAGAAAAAGAGTAATTTTTTGTTTCTTCTTGCGGTTTTATGATACGCCTTAGGGAAGATTTTTCTTGGAACTGTGAACAGCATTAAACGACACCAGCATGCGTGATGATAACTAGAATTCAAAAAGTTTTAACTAGCAAATAATTTGAATATTAGTAATGTCACGCTAATCAAAAGAAGGCCCAGTTGTATGGTTCAATATATTTAGGTGCTGAAAAAGATTTTTTTTTACCTTTGAATTATGAATATTTTATCTGCAGTATGCATTAAAATTTGATTTTGTATAAAATACTGCAAAGAAAGAGAGACAGAACTCACTGTCACATTATTTTATATCTTATGTGTATATTAGATTTAGTGAATAGTGTTAATCTATATTTTTTTAGCAAATAACCTTAAAATACTCTTATTTTTATCTAACCTTAAAATACTCTTATTTTTATTTTAAGTGTGTCTTATTTTTAGGAGTTTTATATTTTAATATATTGCAACTCCGCACAACTGAAATATTCGCGAAAATTGTATTTGGGAATAATGTTTAATATGCAATAATTAGTTTACTTTGGTCTTAGAGAATACATCGTACCTTTTTATGTTTAGAAAGAGCAAACATCGAGAAATGTCAAAGGTAAAACCATAGAATGTTAATCAATATCCGAAAAGCAATCCGATAGGCAAACAGAATATAAAACTAGGAAAAATTAGCTTTCGCTACTGGAAACAATAACACGAGAATCACGGATTCCCGCCACTGCTCTAGAACAAAGCAAGCACGTGCCTCAGTATGCATTCTCAATCCATAAATTTAAAAATGTCGGATAAATAGAAACCTTTGATTATAGGCTATAGAGCAATAAGGAGTTTGGTCAATATTAGAAGAGTTAAAACGGAACAACCACCTAACCTATTTACTCCAATCTTTTATTTCTTGAGAACAACTGGCCGTTATAGCTGACCTTGAACCCAGTATGAAGAAGCTGTCTACACTATTCCATCTTTATCCCTATAAGTTGCAGAGACTAGTTCTTAGAAGGAAAGAATATCTAATATGGACATTTCTGGCGCCTTGAACTCTACAGGGAAGGTCTTTTTTTATTACCTAGTACCACTACACCAGCATTCAAAGAATTCGGGCACAGTATTCTTGTCACTAGGACACACACACACAATCAAATTTCTTTCAAACACAATCACAGCTTCCAAAACACTTTTTTTTATATTTATTTTCCACAAAGAAATGATATATTTTCTAGCTCACGATGTCAGATGGAATAGAGGAAAATCACAAATGAAAAAAAAAATGCATTGTAATCGCGTGCTGTGTTTAATTTATAGTGACAGATTTTTTTCAGCAACTAAGAATACACTATTAAATGTACAGAATAAAACTTATTAAAAATGTGAAAGAAAGAGCGGCAGCAGAATAAAGAGACGTAACATATGAATGAAAGAGCTGATGTTTAACTCAGTTTAAAGTTAAGTATTGTATCAGTGAAACAGCCTACGCTAGTTTATTGTCTAATAGAGTCATTATAGTAGGTTGACAACTAATCAGCCAAATCGAATCACAATTTATAAATGGTAGAATTAACAACTTGTTTAAAATGAATAATTGAAATTAAATGATAAAATTCAATAACTATTAGAAGTGCTTTACACTGGGAAAAATTAAAGTGAATAAAAAGATTAAAAGTGCCAATATAAGTAAAAGTTGTTGTTTCTAATGACCCTTGGACAAACCTAACTTAACAGCCATTTAAAGCATAAAACAATATTCTGCTAAAAGTGGTGAAACTGTGCGAAAGTAAGATTTTCCAAGTAGGGAACGAAAGTAAGAAACTAGAAGTAAATAAAGATCGAAGCCATGACGACAGTAGAATTGCACACAAAGGTTCCAATAGAAAAAAAACTTTCAACCCTTCCATCACTTCTGACGAAGTAACGCGTGGGGTTTTTCCCCGCAGCGCAGCAAGACGAATAAATTTAGATTCACGACTCTTATTATTCATGCGGTTATATTCATGAAAATTCTTGATTGAATTATTCTTGAATTATCTTTTCATTTAGTACTTTTTGATTATCTGCTTTAGTATTTTCGGATTTTCAAAAAAGCTGAAAGACAGTGTTCAGTTCAAAAAAAAATATAATTGATACGAAAATAATACCATCAAAACTTACAACAATATTTTCCCTAGCTATGAATTGTTAATATAGGAGGAGGGAAATATATAGAGAAAAATTAACTTACTAGTGTCTTGACAAGATCTGAGATCCAGTATGTCTATGATGCATTCCACATGTCGCATCTTTTCTGAATAAGACATGGTATCAGGTAATCGCAAAAGTGCAGAATACTGTAAGAGGAGAAAAATGTAACAGTTTTAATAAATGTTATTTCACTTTTTAATTAAAAAAAAGAATGGTCACCCCATAAAGGCATACTTTTATAGGAAAAAAATAGTTTTTGAAAGAAAATTGAATTATTATTATGAAATACGGCATAATTATTATTACTTTTTCAAAAAATAGCATTAGCTATTAATGTTATTATTATTAATTGTATAGATTTTAAATAGCCTGACATACTAGAAAAGTTCAATTAATAAGTTATCAACAATTAGCATAGTGCATTTTCAAATCTAAAAATAGATTACAATCTAAACATTAAAGTTATTAAAATTATAATGTAGTATAGAAAACTACATTATTGCTATATTTTTCCAGAACAATCCCTAAACTAAAATCATCATTTAACTTAAAATAATAACAAATAGTCATTTCAAGAATCCTATCAATTACAGATAAATAAGAAAGATTAATAAGTAAAGTTAATTAAGATGCATATGAATCAATGATTTAAAAAAAAGTATCTAGAATTTCAAGAAACAAATTCATTTTCACATGCATAAAAAACCATTTAAATTATATTTTTTTAAGATTTTTTTTTTTATTTTTTTGCTGATTATGAAAGCGGAAACCATTCATAGAGGAATAATTGATTTTATCTTCAACTTTTTTTATGACGACGGCTAGATTGTAAAGCCTCGTTTAACATTCAAATAGGCTTAGCTAATCAAATCAAATCACAACCGTAAAGATTTCTGATAAAAGTAAATGTCCTCAACTGATAATTTATGAGTAACACGTTTTAACCGTACACATTAAATAGTCTATAACTGTGAAAAGTATATCCTCTTTATTGTTTGAAAATTGGATTTAATACAGACTTTTTTTTTGCAATTATCATAAGTATTTTGCTCATTTTGGTAATATATTTTTCGGGAACGGATGAAAAAACTTCGGAAACATTTTACAATACTCCGACAAAAGTTTAAATAAGATTTCTTTAGTCGTTTCTAAATAGTTACATTTTAACGTTTAAACGCTGTAACTCAGTAATATCAGATGTGTGATTTAATGAAATCATTTATATCAAAGCTTAACCCCGTTCCGCTCCCGTCAGGGGGGGGCATCCAGGGAAGTGATTTAATGAAATCTAAGCTGCTACAATATATTATTGATTATATTGTAACTATAATTAAAAACTAATTACAAATTAAATTTTTAAATCACCTTATCTGTAATTAAAATTTTAACATTTTATAGCCTACTCATTACCACTATAGACACTATATCATGCATATAATTATATATCATATATTATAATATTCATAAATCATCACATTTTATACACATTCTTTTGGTCATACACTATAAATTGTTTAGTTTTAAAATTTGATCGAAGATTAAAGGAAGGTATTTAAAAATCTTAGTAACAATAGAATTTAATTTTATTGGAAAACTTCGAGTAATAACATTTCTATGACTTTTCACACTACCAACATTATCCATAAAAATAAGCGTATGATATTAAATTAAGCGCATAAAATAATACTTATTAGAAAAAATTCAAGTTTCAAAGACGACGACACCGAAAACTGATATTTAATCTATACTCAGAATCGAGAAGAGAAAGTAAAACCTAATTCTAATCTGTCTTCCAATTCCAGACCAAAACAATAGTTAAAAAATGAAATAGTAAGTGCAATCCTGGACGTGTAGTATAGGAAGGGAAAAAGTGGATTGACCCCTATGAGGTCGGTAAACCAAATCTTGGCTGCATTTAGAGGGGAGACGAAGCAATTCAAAAGAAAAGAGCATCTTGTTTGTTCCGCAGTACCTCAACGCATAAGTCGAATTGCTCTTTTTTTTCTTTCCTTTCTCTTCTTCATACTTCTAACTATTCAACCAAAAGAAGATACAGAGATCCCCATACATATATATGTGACAGGGTTCGTTGTCTTCTTTAATCGTGATTATTGAGCAAGAAATCTTTTTGAAATAGTAAACACGTCCTATCGTAAACCATTGGATTTTGTCCGATAAGATCTACGAGGCGAAGAAAGACGGGGGTTGGTTGCTCATTTAGAGAAGGGGAGTAATTTAACTGTCATTTGAGTGCTGCAAGAGCAGCGAATCAAAAAAAAGTAAAGCATTTCTTTAAAATTGAGTCATTTTGTTGGATTATATGAGAGGGTATTTCTCGCACGGGCAGCGATTTCCTGTTTTCCAACTAATAATATAGTCTCAGCTGTAGATCGATTTGTCCAGTTTTCTTATTATTTTAAGATTGATCAATTGACAAGTGTGTTCACAGAAGTAAGTAATTGCATTAAAAAAAAATTAAACGTAGTCATTTAAAGTTGCTTTTTTCCTTATATTTAAATCGATTGTTTTGATTTCAGGTTTGTGAAATAAATTAAAAAGTTAACTTTTTCCAGTTCTATTATTCGATTTCAAATATGATGTTCCAACTTCATTAATTATTTTTCATTATTAGATTTTAATTTCCTCAATTACAGACACATTATTAACTTCATAAGTTAGAAGTTGTTATATTCATAAGTTAGAAGTTATTATATTCATAAGTTAGAAGTTATTATATTCATAAGTTAGAAGTTATTACACTCATAAGTTAGACGTTATTATATTTCAGAAGATAATATATTCGATTTCGATGGTTGCTTAATTACACTACCAGTTTGTTAATTAATTTTCAATTTTGACATAACTGAATTTCAATTTTAGTTTTATAAGTTTTTAGTTTCATAGAGTTTAGGATCTATATTTAAAGTTTTAGATTTCATTATATAGATTTCAAGAACAAAGTTAAGATTAGAGCGTACAATTTCTTTAAATAGATTCTTAGTATCGACACTTTTGTATTTCAGCTTCTTTGAAAAGATTTCTAACTGCTTTAGTTTATTGACTACAGACATAAAAATATTTGAATTAAAAAAAAATAAGAATACCACTTTATAAATGGCATCGGCATCATTTAGTTCAATATTTTAAATTTCTCTCATCTCGTTAAATTCAGATGAACGTTTCTAACACATATTTTCAAACAAATCAGCGAAGCACTTATAACTTTTACCAGCATAAATGATTTTAAAATAACTATACATTTCCAATAGTGTTGATCCATCATTTATTTAATTCATGCAACCAAAAAATAGACGTCGTATTTTAGGAAGATTTAATTTTTTTAAAAGAACAATTATATTTAACCCTTTCTATACAGCTAATTTCACGAAAAAATTAATTGGAAGAAATGGTACTTAATTGAAATTCAGGAAGGCATAGAATTTTCCTGAAGCTATGTTAGATATTACTCTTATTTGTCATGTTAAACATACTGAAGCGACAATAAGAAGAACTATGTATTGCAGCAATAATGTATTTATAATCTAAAATTAAATATTATGGTGTTATAACATTAGTCCATGCAATTACAATCCTTCTGACTTTATTTTCTGATTTCTTCGATTGAAAAAAGCTCGATCATTTTTTATCAGTAAATAAACTTGAAATAATAAAATAAAAAAACACCTTCAAAAGGATTATTATTCTAAGACCTTGGAAAGGTCGTTTCGAGTTAATTACAAACAGTGTTAATAAGTCATGATTTTAAATCTTCCTACTTGTTGCCAACCCGATTAAATTAAAAAAGAAAAAGAAAAGAACAAAAGCGGCGCCTCACAATAAAGCGCGTAGTAATAATCGTAAAACAAGAATAATCGCCGAAGAGTAAGTTCAATCTACGAGTATTCATGGCCTTCTAACCAAAATGAATCTTTAAAGAGGAAAACCAGTTTATAGCTGTCATATTGTAGAAAGTTTCTTTTATTTATTCTTTCACAAGACAGAAACTTTCTCTGATTCTTTCTCTCTTTTTTTTATTTTTCTCTTCTCTTCTTCATTTAAAAGATTTCTTTTACCGCCTCTTTCTTTCTCCCCCTTCCTCCCTATATCGGCGTCAAAATGTCGGTGGTATTCCATAAATCCCTTTTACTGTCTCTTGACCACTGACCTACACGAAATCAAATAAAAATATCCTTTCACTTGTCTTTCTTTTTATGTCCGTGAATTTGCATTGAAAAAAAAAAGAACGAGAAATTCATGAATTTGCATTAAACAAGAGATGAAAATTGAAAATTATTAAAAATCGATCATTCCACTCAACTTTTTATGAGGAAAATATATTATGAAAGAATTGAGTAACAAGACAACGGCCGAGACAAGTAGGAGTTATTACTTTCTATTTTCATAAACCTTTCCATAAAAAAAATCCAATCCATAGAAAGAACTTAATCCGCATAGTTTCAACATCAAAGTCGGGTATATAAAAAAAAAAGTCTTAACACTAAATTTTCAATGCAAATGTTATACAATTTCGCATAAGATATCAATACTATAATAACTCATTTCCATTTTTGGAATAAACTAATATTAAATTAAAAACAAACTTAGTTTTCAGTTAACTATTAGGTACTGCAGGTTGTTTCTTAAATAAATAGTTTTGTACATTATTTCTCAATAATAAAACAAAGAAATTATGATTCTGAAGAAAAAAAAATAAAAAAAAAATGGTTGCCTACATAAGCTTTGTAGGTTAGTGTTAAAAACACTAGAGAGACAATAGCACAGATATATATTCAAAACCACAGCAATTGAAATGTCACGTTTTTTGCGTAACGTGAAAAAAAAAATCACGAGCCTTTTCTCCATTGTGGCAAAACGCGTTTGTTATTATTTGTTTTTTGGTAACCAGATTCTCTCTTTATTTGATTTAAAAAATTGTGTTTTAAGAACTTACTACGAAACATTCCCTAAAAACTTTTTAATTAAACCAGGACATTAAAATTTAATAAAACATCTCAAAGAAAGAGAAAACTTTTCATCTCAGAAAAATTGCTTTATTCCTTTGACGCAGAATTTTTTTAAGCATATTTTTCATAAATTTTCATTATTTTATATTAATTTAGGTCAAAATAAGTGAAAAAATATTATATTTAGCATTTCAATAATTTATGGTTATAAAAAACAGCATAAAACACCAGTGTGTTTTTTCTCTTCTTTTTTTCTCTTTTTTCTTCTTTTTTTTCTTCTTTTTTTTCTGCATTAAATGTAAAATATTCCTAAAACGGCTCACAATAATTTTTCAAATTTGCATTTATTTACAGTTATTCAGATCTAAGAGAAACAGTTATTCATCATTGCAATTTCTTCGGTTTACAAAATCAATTTTTGATAAATTTTTGAAAATGGTGGTTACCTTTAATTACCCAAAGGTAGTACCTTTAATGGATTTTATGTTTCAGTACAAATATAATTCCGATAATCTAACAGATTTTTTAATAACTATTCGACATTTTTTAAATTAAAAAATACCGAAATATATTTTTGCTTGCAATTAGAATGTCAGAAAAAAATACCTAAAATGGATACCGCTGCCCCATTTGTGTCAAATGGATAACGTTGGACCATACTATCAGTTTCTCGAATCATAATACGCTAAAAAATCATAATATGTTAAAAAATTTCTGTAACTTTAATAAGGAATTAGATTGAACCATAATATCAGTATCTTGAATCATAATACGTTAAAAAAAATTTCTGTAGCTTTAGTAAGGAATAGAATTGAATATCAATATCAGTGTCTTGAATCATAAAACGTAACAAATTTTCTGTAACCTTAATAAGGAATTAAACTAAACCATCTTTCTGTTTAAGTGAAACCATAGTATCATGTAAAATAATCACCATATTAAGGTTGCTGCAACTTTGAACGACTACAGCACGCCCGAAACAGTATAATAAAATTAAGAACCCTCAAAAACAAATATTTTTATCTTAAGCAGCACCTGCCACGCAGATATTTTCATTATTAAGATTACCTGAATAATAATTGCTACAGCGCTATGAAGTTAAGTGAAATTAATCCATATATCTTATGAAAATCCATTAACCTAAGTACAGGGTGCAGTCATGTGACAGAAACTAAATGACCAATGGAAGGATTACGAAACTAGTCGGTCCACCAATGCAAAGAAGATAAGGTGCTTTAACTTGGCTGAGATCCAGAACATATCATTCCAATATTTTTTTTTTCATTCTGTAACAGCAGTAAAAAAAGGGACTGTTACATTTTGATTGATAACCCAGGCCGTTATGGAGCAATTTGTGTTATTAAACGTTACTGTCTCGCTCCGAAAGAAAAGTATGTTGGTTTTAAGGTCATGGGTAATGAAGATGACCACCGTTCTTTTAAAAAGAACGTGAGCAAATCGAATAAATGTTACTGATTTAAATCAATTTTTCAAAATAATGAGAAGCAACTTCTTAACTCGATAATCAATAGATTGTACCAGTGTAAGAACTTAAAAATAAAATTGCATTTTTTAGGGTCAAATCCAGCTAAGTATTCCTTTTAGTTTTTTTACGTTTTCTCAGTTTTCCGCTATTATTTGATCTACTTTATTTTGATGAAAGATTTCTTCGGGTTTATTCGATTATTATAACAGTATTAAACAAACACATATTTTAATAGCCATAAAACAATATTAAATAGACCAAATAAATATGATGAAGACATAATTAGAATAAGTTTTTTTTAAAAAATTACAACTCCTTCATAGAATTATAATTTTACTTAGAGAAAATCTCACAAAATAATTTTTTCCACGGAATTTTAACTTGATTAAACTAGTTCATATCAAAGTTACCTCGAACAAAATTATTTATACTTTTTTTTAAATTTGTGCAACAGTTTTATGCTCCAAAAATATATAAAAACTGGTCACAGGTTTATCTCAGGTTCTTACAATAACATTTATTCAAGTTCTAATTGTTAGATGCAGAGATGTTTTTTTTTTGTTTCGTCTGAATTGATTCAGCTCGTTTTAAAATCTTTAACAAAGACAACAAATTGAAACATAAATCTGTACATATGAACTTTTGTAAAATGCATGCTTAGAAAGGAGAAATAATCTAGTATGACTAATGGCATAAAAACGGCTTAAATTGTGTATTCTGCAAAATCACTTTTGTATAAAATATTTTTCACATTTTCATTATTTTTTTTTAACTATTGTCTATTTACAGCGAATAATTATAATTTTTTTCTTCATAAATTCAAACTGAATAGAAGAGGGCAAACGGCTATTAAAAAGTCAACTTAAATTCAGGAAATGCAGTGTATACAACTGTATTTCGAATAAATAATTTATAAAGGCAATAATGAAAAAAAAAATCTTATAGTAAGTGATTGAACTACATACGAGATGCCCATACTAATTAATTCAATATTCCAGACTTAGACTGCACAAACGTGTTCTTAATCCAAAAACTTGTTTGGGAACTTAGTTTAGTAATAGTAAGCAGCTGATTATATTAATCTGCATTACTGCTTTTCCTTCTACAACTCTCACTTTCAATTTGAAGTGTAATAGTTTAAAAAGATATCGGTGAGCAAACAATATAATTTATTTTATTGAAATTTTCAGCTTAAAAAATAAATATTTTAATCGAAAATGAAAAAGAAACTGCTTGTTTTTGGGAAGTTCTACTTTAATAATTTATAGGTGATTAAATTTATTTACGTCAATGCATTTCTATGTTCCCTTTAATTATTGCTGATAGCAATTAATTTTAAATATCAAACTTTTAATAACGTAATTAAATTCAATTCTTCCATTTTAATGTAATTAAAAAAAAAGAAATCTAAATATTAAATCAAGTTTAAAAAATGGTTTCTTTGCTTAAAGACTTTCTACTATCTCTTTCTTTCCCATTTTTTTAAATAATATGCATGCAACGTTCATGATACTATTTAAGGTACTTTTTAAAGTACGATTTAAGATATTAATTTTTTTAATATTTTTAATTTCACTATTTTAAATGAAAAGCATGCTTTTTTCTAACTGATATTTATGGTTCTTTCCAAATTATAATTTCCAGGTTCTATTTTTCTATTTTTTTACCTTCCCAATTCCAGATAATAAACATACGTCTATTAAATTAATATTTAAGGATCTTTCCGAAACATAATTTCAAATTTTTATTTAATAATTTTTTAAATACTATTTTTACAATATTTCAAATGATACGCATCTCCAAATAATATGTATAGTTCTTACCAATATATGATTCTAGAGTTCAAATTCACAAAGATAAGTATGATATTGTTAGGAAAAAGATGAAGAAAAAAATGCTGTCGCTTTCACTTCCTAGGTACGAAGTTTCTCATACTCAAGAAAATGTGCTTTCATCAGATGGAGAGCGATGATGAATTTCCGGCAGACTTGCCCATTGTCCTTAAGCATATCTACATGGCCGACCATAGGTCAACGACCGACCGGTCACCTGTCATCGAGGACCCCCATAACAGATCGAAAAACCAAAGCCGCACACACAACACAAAAGTAACAACAACACAATAACACAACAACCACCATCCCACCCGATTTTTCCGACAATGCCCCATGCGTCCCCCAACAAAGCGACATTTTTTCGTTTCTCTAGGACATGCCTTATGGGGAAAGAACTTTCTCTGGTTTCCAGAAATAGGAATAAGAGAATATTGGGGAGAGAAGACGAATAGTCATAATAATAAAAAAGAATCAAAAACAAGAAATTACATTTTCCCCTAAAAAATGCTATTTTTCCTCTCACTTTCAAAATCTGGGGTCAGGAGGTTGAAATTTTCGTACGCAACACCCGCCCGAACAACTGTACTGGAAATAGTTAGGAGAAAAATCACCTGTTTTGAGATTTTTCTAAAAATAACCGTACTCAAAAAAACACGCAGTCCACTTTTTTTTCCGCAAGGGAAGGAGGTCCTCAATTTTCTTGCTTATTTTTTTAAATTTATTATTATTAGTATTTTTTTTACAGATTTTTTTTTTCCTTCTGAAAACCTTTTCCTTCAACATGCTGCTTTTCTTTTCAAATGTCATATTACAGACGAAAGTTGGCATAATCCGATGCATTGACAAATTTTTTTCTCTCTCTTTTATACCGTTGGTCTGAATGCTATTTATAAATATAACAGTCAACAAAAATAATAACAGTGAGCAAAACGTAGCGGTATTTTCTTTTTTTCTTCTACGGTCTGGTTCCGGGTTAAGAGAAATCGAATAGAAAAAGAAGTTATAAAAAAAAATTTTACATAATAAATATTAAACTATTTTTCTCCTCACAGATTATCATGACAAATAGATCTGAAATTTCTAGTTGCCCTCTGACAATAGCAATGAATAGAAACATACTGATTCAGAAACAGCTTTGAATCAATATTTAACACCAATTTTGATGTAATTTTTTATTTCTGCAAAGATAAAATAACTGTTTTTAAACATCTTTAATTCTTTAAAAATTATACTGTTCCATTATTCTTTAGTAGATTTAGTTTAGTTGAAGTACTATTACTTTTTTGATAAGGTTTAAAATGGTAAAAAATAACTAAATAATGTATAAGACTACAACAATTACAAAATTATGTTCCAATATATTCTAAACATACATTAACATAAGATCAGAATCTCATCCTCCACCCTCAACAGTAAACTTAAAATTGCAAAAAAGAAACAAAAAGAACAGTACAAATTCCTTTCCTTCCATCAGTTGATTAATTCAAAATTAAACCTATACATTGGTGTAATCATTTATATTGAGATACACAATGAATTCGAATGAATTGATGCTTTCTAATAAATAATAAGACAAGTGGATATCAAAACTTACTGTAAGCGTCTGTTTGAGGGTAAGGTCTGTAAAGAAGACATCTTGTTGTAGAACATAGCAAATTTTTCTTCGTAACTGCTTGTTTATTTCTTCTCCATTCATAGTTACTAAACCGCTATCCATATGAACACGACCACCAATGGCATTCAGAAGAGTGGTCTTGCCAGATCCTAAAATAATTCGAAATAATTACATTAAAGAATACACAAAAACATTTCTTAATGGGAAAAAATACGAATATTGCTCAGAAATGATGCATGAGGGTCATTATCATGTTATTATATGCAGTCGGACCTCTATTTAACAAAGTCTCAAAATCCCGATAATAAGTTCGTTGTATGGAAAATTCGTTAAATAGGAAATCTCCTTTCTAAATACTTAAACAGCACAAAAGAAGTTTTTAATTCATAAACCTTAGGTATAAAATAGCAATTCATACACCTTTATGTTGTAAACTAGTATCTACTATTTATGTCATAAATCTTAACCATAAAAGAAATATGCATGGAAAGCAAGAATAGAGCAAAACATTATCCAGTGTTACACTATCATGCTACATACATTTACAACTAAAAAAGCGCTAAATTTATGAATAAAATTAAAGCTACATTTCCTGTAAATGTAATTTTAAACATACATTACATGTGCTCGTAAGTTTAATTGGTAGTGATAAAATCCGTTTATTTTGAAAATCCGTTTTTCGTTTGAAATGCAAACAAAAAGGGAAAGGGATTTTATTGCTTTCTCTAAAAGTAACTTCGAAAATCAATTTCCCCCATAAATGTGTTAACTAGTTTGAAATGTTCTGAAATATTTTGGGAAATAGGGAAAGTGGATCTCAAAGAAAAGTTCGGTGAGAAATACTTATGATATTTTTATAAATGTATATTCTTTTTATAATTTATTCAATATATTGTTATCGAAAAACTATAAATATATTTTAAATTTTGAAACTTTTTATTATTCGCATCTTACGAAAAGAAGTTCATGTAAACAAGCGAAAAATTAAATAAATTATGAATTATTGATTCTATATTAATATTATTATTAAGGTTTAAAAATAACCTAACTCTCGGAACCCCTGCCATCCTCCCAAGAATTCCGCGGAACACCTTTTGGGAACTACTGTAGTTGTTACATACAACATACACTTTCATAACATTAAAATTGACATATTTCGTTACTCGGCAGAATAAAACAAAATTCTATACCTACAACTTACTTAGACTAAAAAATTAAGGACTTTCAAAAATGTACAGAATCGAAATGTACTAAAAAAGTGTTTACAAAATCATTTTCTTAATAACAGATAAACTTATATTTTAAGTATTTACCACTTGGTCCCATAATAGCCAGAATCTCGCCAGGTCTAACCAATCCACTGACATCTCTAAGGATTTGCTTTCCTTCGTGAGATACGCACACATCTTTAAAAACCAATTCAACTGGCTTCTGTCTGTTGGTTGGATTGGCGTCCGCACCATCGGGAGTTCTTATCTGTCCAAGAGATTCCTCTGGCTTTAGTCTGAAAAACACAAAACATATTATGAAACATAAATATCATTATATAAGAATAAAATACACTAGACATTCTTTAAAAACAAGAATTTAATCGTGTATCGTAATAAAAAATTCCCTAAAAGCAAAAGGAAAACTTCAGCAGAAATTTTAGTTCCGCGAATAAAAATTCTGGCCATGTATCTTCATCATACGTATATTTTTTTAAAATATGATTGCTTATTATTAATATTGTTCCATTTTATTTTTTACGTCAATCTTACCGTGTTTGAGTTCATATTTTATAACGCCACTAAAAAGTGTATAAATTATGATTGAGCTTATGGGTTTAAAACTAGGAACTTACACACTATGGAAATTTTGGAGCGTATTAAACCATAATATATCATCCAAATTTGCAGCAAGCTTAATTTGGCGCAGCTAAGTTGAAGCATACCGTACATTTAAAAAAAAGGATTTTGGGTAAATCTGCGTACTTAAGTATCGTTTTTCTTGAACATAATGCAGTGCAAATTTGCTGCAACCATAATTTAGTGCTAAGTTGTAGCAAATCGTACATTTTAAAACAAAATTATGTGTAAATTTCCATATTTAAGTATTATATTTCTTGAATGCCTATTGCAGTGCAAATTTACTGCTACGATAATTTGGTGCTAAGTTGTAGCATATCATGCTTCTCAAAACACGATTGTGTTAAACTTTATGTGCCTGAAAGCTGCACTGCTGTGAAAATTTACTGCAACCTAAATAGGGTGTTAAATTTTAAAACAGAAGATGGAAAGAACACCAAATTTTCATCACATAATGGACGAAGAAACCAATGTTATGGTAAGACACACTAGTGTGACGTCAGTGTAGCAGCCATTCAGTTTCTTTGACTACTGTACCATTAAAAGTTCTAGTTCGCACTGAAGTCAGTTTATTTTTTTATGACGATCTTGAAACATTTACTGAAAACGAATACAGAATTAATACGGAATTAAATTTAGAGATCTTTTTAGACTTGATCAATTTGAGCAAAATGCAATAGATAAGAAGAAAAAAAATTAAAGAGAGGAATTTTTTGATTTTTTTTTTTTATAGAAAAAATGCGCTGGTGCATTCAGAAGTTTCGCTTAATTTAAAAATCAACAATGTGAGTGATTTATAAGTTTGTTGTTCTCGAAACCACAGCAACTCAAGGTTTAAGCGAACGGAATCGCAATGAAATAATAAAAGAAGCAATAAAACTCCAGTGGGATTTGTTTCTAGCCATCAGTTGTTGAACTAAAATTTTGCTTAGTTATACATTTTTTATTTATTTAATGTCCTATTACTCAGGTGTTTTCAGTAAACCCTATAGGTTGTAAACACCAATAAAGGAATAACAGATGCTTAACAATTAATTTTTAGCCCTTAATAATAATCGAGTGTTTACCAAAATATTTTCAACTGTCCCTCAACAAAAATATGTTAATAATTCATTACAAACAGTTTCTTGGACTTTAAAACACAGGCGTTTTCAGTAAACCCTACAGATTTTAAACACCAATAATGGTATAACATAACGCGATTTAACGAAAACATGTAAATAAAGCTCTAATTAAGAGTATAAACGTAAACAAAAATGTTTATAGAACATAGTTATATTTGGAGTCGTTTCATTGGTTAATAATAACAGAGATAAATCAACGAAACAATAAAAACTTCAAATACAATAATATACTATTGTATGGCTTAAATAATAAGTTAAGATGAATTTAAATTAAGCACATTTTGTAACAAATATGTGTTTATAATTTGAAAGCAAATTAGAAATTCTCTTTGCCATTAATATAATAATACATCACGAGTAACTCAATGTCTAATGTAAAAATGATAACATCTCAAACATCTACATTTGCAATTTTGAAGAAAGATATTAAATTCCTAACGGACAAAAATATACAAGAATTGGGTGCATAGGACTTGTTAAAATTCTACCAGGTATATTAAAGAATTAAAAAAAAACGCTTTTTTATGCAATAAAGGTTGGTGTTAGTTGAACAAGTAGATGTCATCATCTATAATTAGATAATTTCAGTATCTAATTAAACATAACATTTCAAACATTTACATTTTCAAAAAAGAAAGATTCGGAACGGGCAAAAAAATATAAGTAAATGTATAGGACTTGTTAAAATTGTGCCAGATATATTAAAGAATATAAAAAAAAAGAAGAAAGAAACGCTTTTTTATGCAATAAAGGTTGGTGTTAGTTGAACAAGTAGATAACAACAGGTATTTTAGGAGAAACGTAAAAAGTAGGTTAACTTATCCCGGCGAAGAAAGAAAAGTGCGAGGCATATTATTTTCAAGGGTAGGTGGGAAAATAAACTGGGCTCACGGAAGAAGGTGAGAAAATTAGGTTTGAAAAGAAAATTTATCATTGATAAACAATAGAAAGAGAATTATTAATAATAATTAGAAAAAACTAAGACAACAAAAATAAATAAGCACATAAATAATACTAAAAGTAGCATAAATATAATAAATAATATAAGTTAATTATGTTGACAAATCAAATTATTTTTGAAAAAGGAAATTTGAATACATTTTTCCTTATTTTTTAAGAACTTTAAGTATACAATTTTTAAAGATAAGTTTCACTGGGAAAACAAAATTTAGTTGGCACACATCCAAACAATTCAGTTAAATCTTTAAAAGTCCAACAACTTTGAAAAACCTCTTCAATTTTTTATAAGTCAGAAAAAAATTAAAAAATTGTTTTTCGCTTGTATGTCTCGTTACTTTGCATTAGTCCTTTTTCACCAAAATATAGTTTACTTTAATCTTGTGAATGCAAAATTTAGCTTTAAGATTTGATTTAAAAAAAAATAAAAAATCCCGTCTCATGCACAAAATTGAAGTTTGCAAGTCAGGTTTCTATTTACGCTTAAACATGCCTGAAAATATGTTAAAAAAACCAAATCATTCAAATTTATTTAAACTGGTGAAATTTTTAAAGCCAGTTCTTTTCTTTAAACTAAAGAAGTGACTTAAAAAAATCCATTAATATTTTTAATTTCATACACAGCATAGTGCCTCAACAAATGACAACAATCACCTTTCTTTCTTCGAAACAAGTGAAAGCATTGAATAAAAAGTAAAAAAAATGATCTTTCTCTTTCCTTTATTATGAAACTGAGAAGACTTATTTATTTTTACTCTAGTGATTGAATACAAGGATAAATTCACCATTAAAATGACTAAATGAGGGCAACTTTAGGAAAAGAGGTCAAACCGACTACATAATCGAAATGTCAACAAAAAGCGTGTATAACGATTTAACTATGAAAAGGATACAGTTGTCTTTAAACAAGTATTGCGTCTTGACAAGGAAGTTAATATATTATTTAACCTTCACTCCAATAATTGGTTTTTTCATCCCTTCTTTACTGAATTCTATACTGTACTCATTTCAAAATTTAGATCTAATTTTCTCTCAACTCTTCGCAATATCCATAAAAATAACGCTTTTACTTTTCAGTATTTTTTAAAAATTATGTCAAGATTATTAAAATCAAGAGTACATTATTTGAAAAATTTGTTACATCTTGAAAGAATAAAATATTTGTAACGAGAGTTAAATTGCAGATAACGAGTACCATTTTTATTATATGCAGAAAATTCATATATATATAGAAAATTCATATTCATATATATATATATATATCTTTGCAACTTGTTTTAAATTTTTTTATAACGATTAATTTTGTGAATAAAATTCGTCAAGATGGACATGAAAATTATTAAAAATTCGAACTGTGATAAATAAAACTGAATATCTTTTAAAATATTTCATATGCGATGTGATTCATCCTATTAGTATTGGAAATTTACTTTACGCTTCAAACGGTCGAATTTACTCGAATGCTAAACTGAACCATTGTATCATGAAGATTTGCTGCTACCAAAATGAGGCCTTAATTCGTACCATAATATCCATTAAGTCAAGTAAAAGATTATTTGATCTGCGTTACTGTGGTACAACTCGCTCAAAATATTTGAACTGAGTTGAATCTGCAGAAAATTCAGAATGAATCTGCAGAACCCTCAGAAATAAGTTACAACCCTTATAATCATATACACGTTCAACGTAAGCGAACTTATTTCAAATCAAATTAAATAAAGACTATCATCACTTCGATATTGATCTATTATCATCATCAAATTACATTCAATACCTGTCCGTTAAAATTTTAAATGATATGGAAGAAATGACTTGTAATTTTAAAGAGCTGTTTAAAAAGTACAGTAAAAAGCATATTGAATAGTTGAGCACAATGATTGAAAGACTTGCTGTTCTTGTAGGGACAAGCGCACAATGGTTGAAGGACTTGATGTTCTTATAGGGACAAGCAAGTAAGATGTTAACAGGTATAGAGAATATCTTAAGACAATGGTGAATGTTTGGTATAAGATGCAGAGGTATCAACTTAGTTCATGTAACGTAAAACAGCTGTAAAAACACATAAGCCTTCGGTTTTTTGCTCTCTCGGTTTTATGTTTGAGCGCGAGAGAGCCTAACGCAATAAAAGGGAGACAGACATCTGTGTAATAATAACTTACTATTCTCTATTTCAAGGTCACATTTCAATCATCTGCTTTTTGGTCGGGTGTGTGAACGACCTAGTGTACTTACCCTTTTTACCTAGGATTTCTTCCCATTTTTTTGTAAATATATTTTATACATATTCAACTGTTTTTTTTTCTTTCCTTCTATTTTTTCTCCGATTCTAGAAAGTTTTGCAAACGAAGTAGAAAAAGGCATGTCACAGATGACAGCAACCGTAGAATGCTCTCTGTGGGAAATCTTTAATTTGCAAACTTCGCCGATCAGCTTGACAACTGGAATTTTTTTTATTTATTCGTTTCACGAAATTAAATGGTAAAATATTTTGAGGCGTATCTCGGTAGTCAAATGATACTATAAAATTTGTAACATCAAGGATAAGCGCTTTCTTACTGCCACTTAAGACAGATAAA